TTTTATAGGCAGAATATGGTTTGTAGCCAATATTTTTATTTAAGTTATTTTATCAGTATTTAACTTAAAAGTTATCGATTTTCTTAAAAAATAATGTCTCTACTAATTATTTTTAACAATTATTATTCTGGTGCCAATCCCTTCTGCTTTTGTGTTGCATGACAGGTTACTAATTACATGCCATCTTTTATAATGCAAAAACTTATTACAGCCCCATTAATTATATAAATAATTGTCCATGACATTACCCGTTCTTTATATAAGTTATTCTTACCAATGTTATCAATATCAATAAAAAAAATAAGAAAAAGTGAATAAAATTTTAAATATGTTCTTATATAATAACTCTAAAAAATAATGTCATATTACTTTTTAATTTATTATGAAAAATAATTTTAAAAATATTTTTCAAATATTACTTGAAGAGCAGCATTATGGTTTTTAAATGAGACCAAATTAATCCTCTAAATTGTACTTTATAAATGAGACCAGAGGAAATATACTATAATAAATGCTATACTATCATTTATGTCACAATTGTATTCATAAATTACATTTATGGAAAAAAATAAGAATAAATAAAAAATATCTGCACAAAGTATCCATTATATGATTACTGTTGTTCATCAATTAAAGTTTATTTGATTTATTGAATTTCTTGAATAATAAACATTTTATTTGGTGAATTACAATTTCTAATTTTAATGACAAAATGTTTTATTTATTACAATTTTAATTACAATTTCTAATTTTAATTACAATTTTAATTTTTTTTTGGGGCAACAAATGGTTTTGAATGAATCAGTTAAGGCTTTGGGCTATTAAGTCGGGTCTGGCCTTGCCATGTCATACCATTTTTACACAGTCGGTCCAATTCTATTTATAAGGCACTGGAGAAGAAATTTTTTATCCCTTGTCCTTAATATAAAGCAAACTTCTACCAAAATATATATATATATATATATATGTATATATAAAAAGAAAACGGTAAGATTTTTTTTTTAACATAAGGTAAAGTGAAAATAATTAACATTTTTTAATTTTATCCCTTATTTATTTATAATTGTTTGAATTTTTAGGTAACATTTTATTATGATTATTGATTGAAGGAGGGTCAAATTGAAAAAAATATACTATATATTTTTAATAATTTTAAAGATATAGTAACTATTATTTTTCAATAAGCACGAAATTAATTCAGTTTATCTTATATTAAGAATCAAAGCATGTCATTGGCTTCTTATCATAAGTTTTCTCTTTTGTCCCTTACAATGTTGGGAAAAAATATTATTAAAATATATACATTAGGAATAAAATTAACACTTATTAAATTTAAATACAAAATTAATCAGTCTTAAGAGTTTTTTTTTTGCTGTGATAAAATTTATTAAAAGTAATTTATGAATAAGAATATATTAGGAGAATTGACTTTTTGGAAACTCTTATAAATGCCAAAAATTGTGAAGATTCGTGTACAATTTTTTTTGAGATTATTTTTAATTTTTATCTTAAATTTCAGGTCGTCATAAATGGATGTGGTCAGCCTGCAAATTTAAATGAATAAAATATTTGGGTTCTGCATTAAAATTTTTAATCTTAAGGGGAACAAACTATGATGGTGATAATATATTCCCTCTATTTTTAAATATAATCAAATTTTAAGTAACTCACACAAGTTAAGAAAATTGATTAATCCTACTATTTGTGTCTGAAGTTGAAATGTTTGGACTAGAATGTCCTTATAATTAATGTTTACTTTTTTACTAATTTAATGATACAATCCATTTATGAGGAGTAATTTGAAAAAAAAATAAAAACTCTTTTTACCTCTATATACAAGGTACTTCTTTAAAAATCAATTCTTTCTAAATATAAGGGTGTCATTGAGATTTTTGAATAATTAGATAATTTTGCTCTATTCTTAAAAAATAGAAAAGATATTAATTATGTACTTTATACTCCACCACCATAATATTAATTGTGATTGTGATGTTATTTGGGATAAAACTAAAAATTATTATGATTTGATGTTATTTTAATTAAATAATAAAATTTTATTAATATATGAAATTTGATTAAAAATATCTTATACATAAAGACCAATGATTAAAAATCTAGACTGAACTGGATGATCGGATCGTCAACCAATTTGAATTTCGGCTTGATCAACATGAAAAAATTGTTTGGAGGGTTGGATCACTTTGAATTGGTGGTTAGATCGAGAATCAAGATCAAACTGATAACCAAATCTAATTTTTAAAAACTAAAATGTTAAAAAAAACTCTTTTTTTTCATTTTTTATCAAATTTTTTATAAAATGATTAATTTTTTTAATCATTTAATATCATATTGTACAGCCTATTTTAAAATGAATGGGCATTACATGGGTGTGCAGCATAATTTTTTACTTTTCACAATGGAGGGGAAATTATTTTATAGACCGTTGCCATGTAGGAGAATTTGAGGGAGCCCACGGTGTAATCATTGGGAGTAAATATGGCGGTGTTCAGAATGTTGATAAGTGATAAAAATAAGTGTACTTTTATCGATACCCCTTGTGATTTTGGTTTAAGTTTATTGTTCTGTTTTTCATGGTTCAAGTCTAAATGTAAATCAATACCTCGTTTTTTTGTTATGGTTTTAGTTTTAACTTTTTACACTTTTTATAGCTTACATTAATGAAGGAAATCTTTTTTACATCTGCCAACATTGTGAAGCAGCAATGTGATATAATGAGCGGGTCAAAATGGGTTCAATGTGTGGGACTTTGACTTTTTACAATAAGGTTTGTTCTTCAACAATTTTTCTGATACAATGTGCATTTGGACCTCTGTATTACACCCATAAATGCATGCAAAGACTAAAATATTTATGTTACTGGTTGGCCAACTGATTAATTGAGATTAAATACTTTGGCAGATTCAAGCTTATTTCTTTGTGGGTTTTTTCTCTTACATATTAATGGTAATTTCTAATATTTTGCAGCTAAATCTCTAGAGTTGTTTTTGCAAGACGTATGTGATTGTACCTACAAGTCCACTACATTTGTGAGTCCGGGATTATTATGATCTTTGTTGTTTTTATTTGTTATTTACCCTGCTAATGAATTTGAACTAACTGAATAACATGACAGTTTTATTAATATCATTCTATTTATTTTCATACCTTTGAATTTAATTAATTTCTATTATTGCTTAGAGTTATAGCGTGTAATTTCTATTCGCGAGGAACTTATTCAGTCTCCAATTGAATTAGAGCCAATGATGTTATTTGAAATTAAACTAAATGATGGTCACTGTCATATTACATTTTTCAGCCATTTAACCATATTATTAATGGCTCCTCTATATATTTGAGTCGTGAACGTTTTGTACATGAGTCGTTTAATTGCTCTTGATTTGTACACGGCCATTACGTTAAATATATACAATAGACCGAATTTAATATGACTTATCTCCCGTGAGCTATAATTAGATGCATTAAACACAAGTATATGCATATAGTCTGTTTTGGAATTACCCTCGCTGACACTCGTTGTCCTAAAATGTGGGCTACAAAGACATTATCATATCCCATTTTCCCTTGGTATTGGGATATTGTCAAATAAATTTCGTAACATTATTTTTGACACGGTTATTTATGTTTATGTTAAATTAATTAGTAATACATCCATCTTTAAATTACGTTTGCAAATAAGGAGGGTATTTCCCCCTCTTAAGAACCAAAACCTTAAATTTGATAGTAACATTTCATAATATATATATATATATATATATATATATTGTATGTAAAATAATTAGATTATATTATTCAATTATAACTATGTTGGAACATCTAAACATGTATATGTAGTTTGGTTTCGTCTTTGGGAATTCTTTATGGATATGATGACATTTTGACGAGAGGGGTATTTTTTAAATTTTTAAATTAAACATTATATAGTTTAACGATAACCTTCCGATACTCTGTGAACTTTCCTTTATTATCTACAAGTTCAAGAAAAAAGTCATAGCTTCATGAACATTTTTCAACAAACACTTGTTGACGATTTTATAAGTTCTCCGATTTTTAATTGAATTTTCTTCAATAAAAGATACTTCCTTCGTTTAAAAATATAAAACATTTTTTAAAGAGTTAGATATTTAAAAAAGTAAAAGTTTTTAATCTTTTGAGATATAATCATTACCTTTTTTCAAAAATACCCATAATAATAATAATTTTATATTTATTATATAGTGTTTAATTAAAGTAAATATGAAAATATAGAGTTAATTGAAAAATAGATAATTATTTTATTGAAATAAAATTTAGTTAAAAATACTTTTACATTTTTTAACAGAAAGAATATATTTTTTTTATTATAAAATGGGCTCTCTATCATTAAATCTTAACTAATATTTGATTGACTAGTTTCAAAAAATTGATCCATGAATTTTCCGTGCAACGTACGAGGTCCTTCCACTAGTTCCTTATTAATCTAAGGATGGAGATGGAGTGGGGGACAAAAAACAAGAAGACGACAACCACGATGAAGAAGAAGGATGTGGAGGGACGCGCAAGGGAGCGCCGCAGAGAGGATCTGCTTCCGTGCTTTATGCTCACAGGCTACAAGCCTACAATAGACCTAATTCACCCGGCATCATGTGGTCTTTTTCAGAAATATAATTGAGTTGAAAACATTACACCGGACTTGGATATGATGCATAACAATGGCAATATGCTTTTTTCATTTCTTCTATTTAATGTTTTGTTTTTCTGTGTCTAATATACAATATTAAATAAACATTATCCATGACTTACGAGTTATGAATAGCAACTAACATTTGTTATATATTTGATATTAAATATTAATATTTTATTTCTCTGCCTAATTCCAAACAAAAGTTTTAGCGGGTCTGATAGGATATGCAGCTTAGCAATTGAGAGCCATGCTGCCACAACAGAGAATAGCCTTGATCCTCACATAATGAATACCCTAAGTTTTGGATCCAAAATAAATATGTAGGAGCAATGGCAACGCTGAGCAAATACATATTATTAAGTACTGGAAATATGCTAGGAAAGATATACATGAAAAATCAATAAATTACATGAAATTTATGTAAATTCATAAGTAAAAGACAGGGGCAAGGGCCTCTAATATGTCCTTATCTAATGCCCCAACTTCTTAATTTTATTTTTCATTTTTCTTTAAATTATTAACTTTCATTTACAATAAAAGACATTTGAAGATCTTGATGTTTTAAAATGGTGAAGATTTACATTTTTTTTTATGATTTTTTAAACAAAAATATCACAAATACACCCTTTTACTTTTAAAAAATCATATAAAAATACAAATCTTCACCATTTTAAAATATCAAGATATTTATTTAAAGGTTTCTTGTTTTATGTAAAAGCCAATAATTAAAAAAATATTAAAAAAAACAAAGTTGGGAAGTTGAAACATTATAAGGGACAGTAAAAAAGGCACATGAGAGGCCCTTGGTCCTAAAAGACACGGGCATAGATTACAGAGTGAAAAGAACTACGTAAAATTTGACAAACAACATATTAATAAAACCGACGCAGCCTACCAAGACTACCGCAACAAAAAAAAAATTAAAAAAAGTTCAAAGTGCAAGGGAAGGAACAGCTACTGCTTTTAATCTTACTATATATATCAATGCCGATAGAAACAGAACTTGGAATTTTCTCGACGGCTACAATATGCATTGGTTAACTGTGCCTCCACCGAACCCTTTCATATTTACTCAAGGAGAGAACTTTGCAATCAGCTTATCGACGTGGATAATGATATCATTTATTCGGGGCCTCACAGCAGCCTGAGGCTGAAGCATCCATGTCACAAACTGATGAAGAGCTTCTGGATATGGGGGCTTAGGTCCAGCTGGCCATTTGACCTGAGCATTTACAATGGCCAACTGCAGGCTTCCTCCAGATTCTCCTAGTGCATATTCAAATGGAGATACGCCATACCTACGGAATAAGTCAGTCATTGCTGAACAGACGTACTAAACCAGGTAAACTATTGTTAGCAAAAATGGAAAAATAACATCCATTGCCAAGACGAGGGCAGTTATAATGGTATTGAGTCGCCTTTGGAGTCCAAAGCCCTAAATATCTCACTTTTTCAAGGAGGAACTTTGTTCAGGGCCTCAAAGCTAAGGATGATATTTTCTACCCCATCCAACTGTTCTCCCTCCCTAAATAGGTTCCACTCCAAAAACGAAAAACCAAAAAAAGAAATCTAGATCAACTCTGCTTTGTTCTTTCCGTGTAATGCAAACCATGCACGCCCTGAACTCTATTACATATGTTAATTTACACTCCCTCTGGTCCTAAATATAAGATCTAGTTAACTAATTTAAGAAAATTAAGGAAATTGGCTAAGTTGGTTATTTGCTGCCATTCTTGCATAAAAAATGTGTCACTTTCCCAAAAACTCCATTCAATGTGAGAGACAGACAATGAGAAAAACTCAAATTAATGAGGGTAATTTGGGGAAAACAAAAAATGAGAGACAAAGAAGATTGAGGCCCTATATTTAGAATCAAAACAAATCCCCCAACCGGGTCTCGTATTTGAGACCAAATGGAGAAGTGTCTAAATGTTCAAATGGACATCAAGGCTTCAGAATCAAAACGCAATGCATACACAAAAAACTAAGCACATATGAAGTGATAAGACAAATGTTATTTGTGGAATCAAGGCATAGACAATATAAATTATTAACATAAAAATATAAAAAAATCACATGTAAAGAAGGATTAATCCTCACATTATCGCATACAATGTGCATCCCAGCGACCATATATCAGTTCTTTCATCAATATCAGCATGGCTTGGGCAATCCCACAGCTCAGGAGCACGGAAAGGAGCAGAGCAGTGTTCGGCAGCCCATTCCTATCAAGAAGTTAAAAATGTAACAATCACCTAAGTATAAAACCCAAGCCTGATAACTGAAGTGAAACTTTGGTCCTTCTGATACACATTATATCAGAACATCTAGTTTTTTAGATTGTCACAATAAAAATCTAAAACGAGTGATGGAGTTTTTTGTGAATTAAAAATGTGCCACCTAAAGTATGACAACAAAATGATAAAAGACCACAGAATAACTTGATGATGTGGAATGTCATATCATATGCCTCAAGGTTCAGAAATATTGTGCTTTGCAAATATGGCAAACCAAATTGCCAAGATTCATGTAGATACTAATGGTAATGTAAGAAATGGGCACATGAAACATCAACACTATATAATTAATATAGCGATGAATAGAAGCACCTGCAGCTGTAATGCCTCTTGTCGGGAGCGAATTTGCCTCTTGGCAGGTTGAGAACTGCCAAAATCCATCAGTATGGCAAGAGGCGATCGTCCTTTCCTATGTGTTATCAGAACATTCCCAGGTTTGACATCATTATGCGCATATGGAGGATCTAAACTGTGCATGTGCTCGAGTCCTGCACAAAGCTGTTGAGTTGATTTCACTCGGTTAAAAGGCTTTTACTACATTTAAGCTATGGCTTTGTGAGTTTAAAGTAATATAAAACCTTCAAACATGGATTATAGAAAAGCAATCTGAAACGAATGTTTTAAGAATTTGAACCAATTATCAAAGATAAGAAACGATTCATAGTTTAGCAGCTCGACTTGCATGTTTTCCTGTAACACACACCGTTTCATTAACGAATATCAAGATACATACTATGTATATCATGTTTTAAAAATAAAGGATACACGTGTTATCAAAAATGTAAGAGAAGTATAAATATTCTTATAAATTAATTAAATATTAACAACATAAAAATTAGCTGATTCTTGTTTCATAGGACCAGGATATTATTTAATGAATGTTGGCTTGAACTAGTCTTTTTCTCTTTTCGACAATTTTTAACTAGTTATATTTTTCCTTTTTTTTTTTTAATGTAACTTGTGCTTTCAACTTTTCATCTTCGGACTTAAGTTTTAAATGGCTTTCAATTACATTCTAAGAATTGCCTTCTTCATCAGACCAAAAGTACCATCCTTTCATTATTCAAGAACCAAAATTACTAGATAAACAGAGGGAGGAAGATAGAAGGAAAGAGACGATGATGAGAAAGCAAGCAATGCATTTTTGGATCAGGACCATGTCAGCCACTCATCCTTTCTCCTTAAAACAGTAACTCCACACTTTATTTACTCTCTCTTCTCTAAACCATGCATCTCTGCAATTGCTTTCTTTTTCCTGTTCTGGAATTTTTTTTCAGTTTCAGAGATGGAAGAGAACTCAGCAATGAAAAGAATTGCTCAATGCTCGACCATAAATGAAAACAGTAACAGAGCACTCTTACATATTGGTGCTTTAACCCTCAAGTTTTAGGGGTCAACCAGACCAGAGAACCCGTTGGTTTAGTGATTGAACAGACTGATTGGGCTCCTAGAACCATGTACGAAACTGAGACAGGCCAGAGAATATCATATTTCTTCTCTCTCAATGTAAATTTTTAGATAACCAATTTATATCGCAGAAATTGCTAGATTGATATTTTAAAAAAGTGTTGCCAGCCAAACTGTTGGCAATTTATAATTTTTAGTTGTTGGATTGATCTTTAAAGCACACGCACATAAGTCAACAAGCGTGAAATGTGTACAAAACAGATGATTTTCCTTTACCTGCCGAAATATTTGAAGAACATCAGAGGTAGAGTAGAACTCCTTCTTGGCTTTCATGGTTTTGGCATTGTCTAGCAACGTTCCATCCAAATGAACTGGAAATAACAAGTATGCTTCATGGTTCCAAGATGTTTCTTGGGTAGGCTGTCAGGAAAAACCACATTGAAGGAATGAAAAAGAGCCTAATATAGCAAAGGATTTAACACAGTGTTACACATCCCAGCACTAAGAATATATCTTCTCTTTTTATGAGCCACACTGTAACAACACAAGGACTTTCCAGATTAGAAAACCTAGAGAATATCCATGTCACACCGCACAGCTGCAAAATTCCCAATCAAGTGCGGAAAACCTAGACCCTCCTCAGCAATATAAGATAGACGTGCTGATATATCGGGGCTTTAAAATAAACATCCATATAGAATTTATCGTTTTGTTGAATAGGAGCCTAGCATCATTCTTGCCAGCAATTACTTATATTACCTCAATAAAATTTGCTCGAATGAAAATTACCTTAACAGAGATGATTGCATGATCAAGAAGCGGGAGCAGATTTCGATGACTAAACAGTGACGAGACACGGATCTCCTCCCTCACCAACTCCAACTGTTCACCATTCTGAATGAGGATCTTTTTCATGGCATAAATTCCATCTTCTGCAGAAAGGAAGACCATAACGAAGTTCATAATTCATAATTATATAGAAACTCCTCCAACTGTAGACAAACAACCTGGAAAATTCTGAACTTACAGATCACCACCACCATCAAAGTGAGAAACATGACAGGATATTTATCATCATTTTTTTACCATAATCCATGACGGGATAATTATCATCTCCATTTTATCAAAAACGCATTACTTTGCCGCGTAATCAATAGACGTTAACTAGCGCGCAACAAGGAAGAAGCAAGCATACAGATCTCGTTCAATCGAGAATATGTCTATCATGCCCGGAGACCAAAGTTCATAGAAATTTTTATCCAAGCTTAAACATCATAAATCACACACAGTGGTAGCGGTTGAGATAGGAAAGGGGAGATACTCCAATGAATGCAGTATTAAGAAGCACAGATCAAACCTTATTCTTGATCAGATTGGAGTGTGCCCACAAAATCTAAATCTCTGTATGCCTTTATTTCTATTATTACCCCTAACTCGTGAATAAAGGGAATTACTATAAGATTCCCACAGAAAAAAGGCAGATCACAGATTGTTGTACTTTTTATTCAATGAGGCAAATAGAGTAATTTGGGTTAAGAAGGAGAAGAACCGAACCAGATACATGAGAGGAGTCTTTAAGCTTCTTAGAGAGACCACCGCCAGCAGAGGAGGGAGAGGAGTCAGCGACCACCTCCCTAACCAAATAGACGAAGGCGAACCCACCTTCCCCGAGCTGCCTGACGATTCGGAATCGGTTCTCATTGATCCAGACATCCCCTCCTCCATTAACGGCGTCGTATAGCGCATTCAACCCAGAAAACGAGCACCCCATCTTTCTTCTGCTTCTACTGCTTCTACCAGTGCATGTAGATCCTGAAATCCGTCCTTTTGTTTCTCCCTTTCAGCCTTACTCCCCGTGAAAAGAAACGAAACAGGAGCCCCAGAAGGAATTTGGAATCCAGGACCTGATTTCACCACAATGGAGTAACCAGACTGATTTTTATTACCCTCCCATGACTCTGGTGTATTCCGTTTTTTGATCCCCCTCCAATTTCAACCAGTGCACCGAATTGAGCCGTCAATTAGAGTTGATTCGAGCCGACCTTTTTGAACTTAAACAAATTTTGGGCGAAACCACTACTTTAATATGTAACATAATAAATTAAATTTTAAAGTCCTAAAATAAAATTAAGACTGACTTTTTTAAACCCTTGTATATTATTATGAAAAAATTAAACATTTTTAACAGTTTGAAACTTAATTTTATTTCATTTCACTGTTAAGTGTATTTTCATTCCTTTTTCCTTGATCTTCCAAGTTTTAATTTAAAAAAAATTAAATAATATTGATATTAATAACAATAATATTGATAGAATTTAATTGTTATCAATGTTTATCTTGTGATGTTGCTATTTTTTATTATTGTATGAATTATTTTAAATTTATTTTTTTAAAAGTATTAAAATATAATTGAGTTCAATAAGATCAACAAAATTAGACCTGACCTCTTAAGAGTCAAATTTTTAAGGTTACGTTGATTTTAATCGACGGACTCTGACACTAAACACACATTTTATTTATTTATTTTGGCACGCCCCTCTTTGATTTGCACGCGCCGTCTGAGTCAAAATCAGTCAAGGGCCCATGATGTTATTTCCCTCCCAATTCTGATGTTATTATTTAAAGAGTTGGAAAAAAAAAAATTATGTGCATGCATGCGAATTACTATTGTCATTTGATAATTGATTGGTTTGTCGCCTTTTTGTGAGGATGAGGGGGGAAAATTGAAATTATATTTAGTTATTCATCTTTTAATTAAACTTTTTAAAACAAATACATACGATTACTGAATTTATCATTTCTTTTTACAAGATCGAGATATTGAGAAGATAATTAATGAATAACCAATCTAATTCTCAATTCGGGGAATTTACCCCAAGGCTGGCTGGATACGGATCCCCCGTCCCTTTTCTTTTATGCTTTTGATTTGAATTTGTCGGTGGTAAGGAGAATGTGTACTGATTTTTCCCTCCTTGAATACCGTTTCCTTGGCTGATATTTATTTATTTTTCCTCAAGACAAGTTTGTCATATTAATTTGAAATTTGAATATAATTGATTATTTGGGGTTATCCAAACGGGCTGAATGTGATTTTAGATTCAGTGTCATTTATTTATGTTAGCAACTTAACAAGCGCAAGAATGATACGGCGGTAGAAATTTAGTCCGGTAGATATTTATTCAAACACGGCGGTAAAAATCCTGTTGAGGGCCATCCACGTGCCTTGTAAACCCCCTTTTTAACCGAAATCGTATGCTCCCGACCTCTAACAGGTTGAAGGGCGTCAAGCCGTCAACTGAAGGATCTAACAAATTCTTTACTCTTTTTCTCTAAAGGTTCGCGTCTCGTGCTTTTTAGTTGCCTCAGTTCATTCTCTGTTCTAAAGCAAGTGATCGCTGGATCATCATTCTCCTCATAATGTTAATCTTATTATTTTGTTGTGGATAGCCGTACCTCCAGTTTTAATTACATAGCTGTTTTCGGTCCCAAAAAAAAAAAAAAAATCCATAGCTCTTAATTTTTGTCCAGACTTCGCAGTACAGTTTGATAATTCCAGAACGTATTTTAATTGTAAGTTTATCACGGTTTTCCTCTCTCTGTTGCAGTTCCTCAGGCTATTTGTCCTGTTCATTTTTTTTTTTTTTGTTCCTGGTTTATATTGCATGGGAAGGAATTACTCTTTATTTATACCTCTTGTTTCTGATTTAAATTATAGTGCCTCAGGCCTTTTCTTTCTTTCTTTAAGATTTGCCGTGAGAAATTTTTGGATTTCTGCATAATTGCTTTTTCTGAAAATATGCTGTGATGCAGTGCAAGATCTAAATGTTTTCCCTAATGTAAGATGACAGTATAAAGCTAGTCTTTATTGGTTTATATGAGTCGAAGTTGCTAAAATCCATTATAATGATATTATCAATTAATTGCTGTATATCCAGTAAATTTGATACGCAGAAGTTAAATGCATCACTGTTGTTTTTATAATATTATATATGTTTCTGTTTTTTTTTTTTTTGGGATAAGCGATAATATACGTTTCAAATGCGAAATATATGTGCTGCGATTCTATGTGCAATGTTCAAGTCATTCGTTTTGTTGTAGCACTGTTAGCATATTTTTTATGTGGCATTTTCATTTCCCAGGTCCTTTTGGGCCGCCTATAGTGTTGACATCCTTAGTTTCCCTAATGGCACCACAAGATACTGCCCCTACTGTTGAAATAACCCAGAGAACTTCTGGTCTACTGCGGGATCAGGTTCAACTAGTAAAAAGAAAAGACTCTGACCGCTATGAAATTGTCTCAGTCCCAGATTCTCTCTCATTTGAGAAAGGTTTCTTCATAGTTATCCGTGCGTGCCAATTGCTCGCTCAAAAGAATAATGGGATAATATTAGTAGGCGTTGCTGGACCCTCTGGAGCAGGGAAGACAGTATTCACCGAGAAGGTCCTCAACTTCATGCCAAGCGTTGCTGTCATAACAATGGACAACTACAATGATTCTAGTCGAGTCATAGATGGCAACTTTGATGGTATGTTTTATTCTCATCAATTACATTAAGTCGATGACATGATTCAATAGGTTTCATTGATCTGGAAAGACATTTCTTGATTCTCTTTTATTGGCATGCTCAGACTTTATTTTCTCCATTCATTGTCAAGAACTGCTTCCGGTTGTTCATCTTTCTGGTCAACTTCCTAGAAATAGAACAGAGTCAATTCAAACCAGACTTCTAATGACATGATTCTTGGAAACAGATCCTCGGTTGACAGATTATGATACATTGCTCGAAAATATACACGGTCTCAAAGCTGGCAAGCCAGTTCAGGTTCCCATATATGATTTCAAGTCTAGCTCTCGCACAGGCTACAGGTACTGTTCCTTTCCACGTAAAATTTCTTGGGATATGAAAAAGGTTGTTTTGTGGCTTTAATCTAAATTACCCCTCATAGTGAAAGAACCTAAACATTAACAAAAACTTAGATGATAATAAAGCACTATGACATTGTGTAATTCATATGGCCAGCCCCACTGGGATAAGTGTCGTTATTGTTGTTGTAATGAAAGAACCTGAACACTCATTCACACACGCACAATGTAATAATAATTCAAGCTAACTGTTGATCTAAGTTATTACTACATCAGATAGGCCTTACATGGCGAAAGCCCTATTAGTGTCTGGTTGTCTTAAGATTGTAGTTAAAACAGTTCACCGAGACAAGGAACTACAACATTTACAGTCTGTGAGTGTGCTTGCGTGCGGTCAACTTTTTAAAGACACATGAAATACATGTGCACTTTCATGCACACAACTCTCTAACAGCCACAGACACTATGATACAGATATGCATACAAAACACATACATGCTCTACACAGGGATGTCGATTATGTTGGGAGGGACTATGGTGCAGGCTATTTAAGTTTTTATACACATAAGCACATATAAATGGTATCATTTTATTGAAGCTTCGATGCAGTTATGTATTTACTATTCATGTCTCAATTTATTTTCATACAACTTTTCTTATAGGACTGTTGAAGTCCCTAGCTCCCGTATTGTCATCATAGAAGGTATCTATGCCTTGAGTGAAAAATTACGTCCTTTGCTAGATCTTCGGGTGTCTGTCACTGGAGGAATACACTTTGACCTTGTCAAGCGGGTGTTGCGGGACATTCAACGTGCTGGTCAAGAGCCTGAAGAAATAATTCATCAAATTTCTGAAACGGTTTTTCCCTGATCCCATGCTAGATATATTTCTCCTGTCTTGGAAAAATGCACCATAAAAGAAATCAGCTTTAATTCTAACCTGATATCTTGTTTCTTGTGCAGGTATATCCAATGTATAAAGCCTTTATTGAGCCAGATCTCCAAACAGCACATATTAAAATCATAAACAAGTTTAATCCATTCTCTGGATTCCAGAATCCCACCTACATATTGAAGGTGATCCTCTTGTTCTTCATCATGCTTTACATTTTACATGTGCTTTCTGCATGATATATTATTGAAAAATTTTCATTGTTTCTGATGTTGTAGTCAACAAAGGGTGTGACGGAGGATCAAATCAAAGCTGTTATTCCTGCTGAGCACACTGAAACCACAGAGGAAACATATGACATATATCTTCTTCCACCTGGGGAAGATCCTGAAGCTTGTCAATCATACTTGAGGATGAGAAACCGGGATGGAAAGTACAATCTTATGTTTGAGGTTAGGAGATAAACAACTCTTTTTGTATAGGTATTTATATTTTTTGAGAGAATATACAAGAAGCAATAATTTTTTTTTTTTTTTGGATTTTGTTTCTGTAGGATATATTTATCAATTTTGTGCCAATGTCTGTTTCATTACTGTTCTTTATCCAATGTTTCATGATAAAAAAAATCTTCTATCTTTGATCAAGAAGCAAAGTCTCTGGCCTGAGTATCAAAACTATTTTCTGTACCATTGAAGCACGTTTTATACTCCTGTAGCTTTTCCCGAACTTCACTACAATAAGACTTTTCTTGTTTTCAGGAATGGGTTACTGACAGTCCATTCATAATATCTCCTAGAATTACTTTTGAGGTTAGTGTACGGCTTTTGGGAGGGTTGATGGCCTTGGGGTACACAATTGCAGCTATCCTGAAAAGGAACAGCCATATCTTTCATGATGATAAGGTGTCTATAAAAACTGATTGGTTGGAACAACTTAATCGCCACTATGTTCAGGTATAATAGCATACCATTCAGAATTTCCTTGCTTTGCTTACGTGGGTTGATAATGTGAGTCTGCCATTTGTTATAAGCTGAGCATTTATTTATAAAATTGTCAGATGTCGTTAATTAATTATGGAATCTGTCTGCTGTCATCAAAGGTATCGTTTGAAGAATTTGGAACCTTTATATACACAACAGTCGATGCATGTAGGGAGATAGAGAAAAAAAGGAGGGATGATTGGTGTAAAAATGAAATACAAACCTCATACATAGTCACATTCTTTGGTGTCACTTTCCACATGAATGTATTATTGCATTAATGCAATTTTGCATTCAAAGATGCCTTTTATTGATTTGCCATGCTAAGCATATAACCGTCTACTGAGAGGGTACAATAAATTTTGCAAGACTTGAAGAGGACCCGATTAATGTCCTGACTTACAATTCTGCTTTTACAATTATCTTATCCTTCAGTGATTTCTCCCACATGCTGAAAAAGTCACAGCAATGTTGACTCAGTTCTTATATGTTTATTGATTTTTGCCTTCTGCTTGGTAATTAAGGCCCGTGCCCTGGCTTTAGGCATTATTTATTTTAGGCCCAGGCACCTGAAACTCTGCGCTTTTGGGCTGAGCTTGAACCAGATTCCCGGATCCATTTCCGTGTATTTTTTTCACTCTTTTATACGAAGTATTTGGTTCATTTTGTGATAAAGGTGCAAGGGAAAGATAGAAACTATGTTAAATATGTGGCAGAGAAACTGGAGTTGGATGGTTCATATGTTCCTCGCACTTACATCGAACAAATTCAGCTGGAGAAGCTTATAAATGATGTGATGGTATGACCCTTCCTACAAATTTAATTATGCTCCACATATTTGTAATTTGTGTACTAATTTGGTCAAAATGCAGGCATTGCCAGATGATCTGAAGACCAAACTCAGTATAGACGATGACGTGGTTTTGAGCCCTAAAGAAGCCCTTTCAAGAGCTTCTGCGGATAGGAGAATAAAGCACCTAAATCGGTACTTTTGAATTTTCTTAGGCACTGGTGATACGCCCTCTGCTTTCTTTCATGATCGGAAGATTATTATTATTATTATTATTATTATTATTATTATTATTATTTGGATAATCAGGAAGATCAATTTCTGACTTCAATAGAAATTGAAAATATAAAGTAAAGCCCTGTGATGTTTTCCCATGTATGTTTCTTGCAGCAATTTCTCACACTCATTTTCAAATCAAAGAGATAAGAGTCTATCTAAGTTGACTAGATTAGCTATAAATAACCGAAGATTCGATGGACGTGCCCTTGAATCACCTGCAGCAATTGCAAACCAAGTAAGATATATCGCTTTCAGAAGTCATATCCTGGCTATCATTTTGGCTTCTCCATTCATCAAAGCACCAAGACTTAACCTGCTGTATCTCATTGTGGGTAACATGGAGGGAAAGTTTTAGTAGCATGCTGAATTAGTTGCTAGAAAAGGTGAAAAGGATAACATCATAACCATAATATGCAATTGGACCGCAAATTGGAAAGAAACCTAAGAGGAATATTCAATTTTAGTGGAAGTATATTCATCTGTTTGTTTGGCATAGAGGGGTGGCAAGAATTGATAGCTGTCTGTGTGAGGTAGAAGGTTTTTATTTTTATTTTTATTTTTATTTTTTTACCCAGCTAATTGATTCAATTAAACTCACTCGTGATTTCTTTTGGTTACAGGGAGTCATTACACAACTTTCTGATCAAATTTCAACATTAAATGAGAGGATGGATGAGTTCACATCCCGTATTGAAGAGCTGAATTCTAAGTTTGCAAACAGAAAAGTTTCCGCCAGTCAGCAGAACTTGTCTTTACAGTCTGAAGCTTGTAATGGTTCGGTACCCACTTCCCTCTTCCTTACAGGATTGGGTAATGGTTCATTGACTGGATCGCTGTTGCCTAATTCTTCATCATCTTCCCAACTGGCGAGGGAGTCCCCCTTGATGGAAGAGGTAATTCCCTTCATTTTTTTATGGGACATCTTCAGTTGACTTTTCTTTCCATCTTCATCTTCAGTTAACTCTTTTTTTCGTTGATGGAAGAGGTATGTTTTTTTTCTTTTGTTATATTTTCTGTTCCAGTATGTTGTTTTCGGGTTGACTCATGAAATTTAGATTTTATGGGTCTTTGTGTTTGTAATCTTTTTCTTTGTGATTTAATAAAATTTATCTTTCTTCAAAAAAAACTCTTCATTCTAAATAATTGGATATCATTACTGTTCAAAAACCCGATTATGGTTAGACGTTTGCATTATGGGAGGGCTACTTAAAATTTCCTCTCACACAGCCACACCTCAACTGGCTTTTATCAGGTTGTACTTATTTCACGGGGACAACGTCAAATCATGCATCAACTAGATAGTCTGAGCAATCTTTTGCACGAATACTTTGGAGAGAGAGCACGTCTAGGAAGAGCAAACCAGACAAGCAGGATGCCTGATGTTGACTTCACCATCCCGCTTGTTCTGACTTTGGCAATTGGTGCTGTTGGCGTCTTTTTGTTCAAGGGTTTGACATCCCATAAATAATGTTGTCCTTTAGCAATACAATTTGTGAATACCATCGCCCTTTCCTGTAGTTTTGCTGGACAACTGACCAGACGTTAATGACGGGAGGCAAACGATATATTCCAACCATATATGAAGTAATATCGGATGGCCAACGGCCAGTAGGATTCGAATGATGTGTGCTTTTTCAATACAAGGATATGTACGCCTCGCCCCCTTCTCGCCCGACCAATATCCTTGGTGGGATTACTGAGCTGGATACATCTTGTAGCCCTATTTTGTGGTTGTTATACATCATGTAGATTTGACAGGTTATTGGATGTAATGGTATGGAAAGCAGCTTGATAACTCCGGCTCACGTTTCATTGTGAAAATTTGCGGCCCACCTTGCATTGTAAATTGTTGAATATACTCGACTTCATCACAAGTATATGCAGCAATTATCTGGCAATTTCAGTCTGTGTTGGTGTCTTTATTTTTCCCTTCCCTTCCACTGTCCCCGTCAAAAAAAAAAAAAAAAAAGCCTTCTCCGCGTGCAGATCCTCTCAGAACTGTTTTGCCTCAGCGTCCCTAAGCGTGATCCTTCAAGAAATATATAATGTCTCATACTTTACCATATCATCCCATGTGAAGATGATTTCATCTTAAAAAATAATTATTTCATTAAATCGATTTTTTTATTTTATTTTTTATTTTCAAAACTTGTTCTAAATAATTACCCTACAGATTTTTACAAAGAATTTATACGTCAACTTATTCAAACCCTAACTTAACTTTTTTAATAAAAATTTGTTCAAAAAAAAATTTACAAAGTAAGCCAGATTATAAGGAAATGTTTACAGTACAACTTATTTAAATTCTAACATGATTCATTTAATAAAAATTTATTTCAAAAAATTTACAGAATAAGTCAGACTTATTCGAATACTGATATGATCTATTCAATAAAAAATTATTTAAAAAATATAAAGAGAGATTTTTTCAGAACAAATTGAAAAAAAATTAAAACAAAATTATTTATATATGAGATGATGCGATAAAGTATGAGATATTGGATATTTATTGAAAGGATCAGATTGGGACGCTGAGGCAAAACAATTGTGAGAACATCCGCATCCGGCCTCCCCCTCAACCTTCCAGAAGCCATTTGCAAAGCTCAAGGGCTGCTGCTGGAATTGAATCCACTTCCGTTGAGGATGTGATGTCATGAAATGAGACAAGAATTAACTCGGGGGAACAAGACACTGAGGATCGTGAAAGAGTTATTACCGAGGCACCTCAATGGGGATTCCATTTCCGTTTTCCTTTGCTTCCTTGTTCAATTCCCGCATACCAAGAGGAGGGAATTAGTCCGTCAGTTACCCATAGATTACGCGGGGGCTTGAAACGACAGCTAACTTAAACGGCAACAAGGGGATTTATACTGCTCAAACACGTGGCATTAAATGATTAAAAGTATTCACGCCTCTTTGACTCTCCGCTCAGGCACGGCTCACATGAACATGCAAGTGAACCATAAGAGCCCTCATTGGGCTCCAGTGGTTCACACAATCGCCGTATGTTTGACCGGTATGATTCTAGAGATTTCTCACTCGATCGGCTTAGCCCCTCGTGGGATTTGCCAGGCAGCAAGTTGATCCACCGAGACCCAAAATAAAAAACAGCGAGAAAGAAAAAGAAAAGGGGAGGGGCTTTAAAAGCAATCCTTTGATAGATGATATCATATCAGCCATTTATCCGAGGTAAAATGCTTTAACTGACCAAAAGAGAGTACAAATGAATTTGTGCTTCAAAAAGAGAAGCAGTAACCTCATTAACTTCTGATACAACTTGATCATAATCTGACTCTAGTTTTTCCTGTTCCCCTTTATCTAATTCCCCCTTAGCAGGCTTGGTCATCACCAAAACGCAGCAAGTTGGCCTCTTGGTCACTCCTGCACTTGCAAGGTCCTGGTAAATCACATAAAAGACTGACGGCATTAACATACGACCATAATTTATGTTTCTTAACATATTTCAACATCGCATAATTGCATGGCGCATCTTTTGTTATCCATTAAATCGAGAGAGAGAGAGAGAGAGAGAGAGAGAGAGAGAGCTGAATTCTAAAATGTTGATAGACTTCGAAGGTAGCTGAGTTCAAAATAATGGTTCAGTCATAACCTTTGAGGTGTACGTGATTCAGTGATTAGTGATTACAGTCTACAGAGTCCGATTTAGATCATACGGGTGGAATGGGGGCACTTTGTGAGTGGTCTAACGTTTTCAAATTAAACTCCTTTTTATACGTCCAGAGAAGCACTGGATAGAAGAAGATTCTGGTAGGTTGAAATTGAACAATACAAGCACTTTCAAACCTCTTGAAGGAACATATCTATATTGGGGTGCTTCAATATTTATTATAAATGGGAGGGAGATCCTTGAAGTCCCACGAATAAAATCAACAAGAAAAGAGATTTGTATTGGTAGGTGTTTTTCTCTTTGTTAACCCACCCTATGCTTACGGGTGGCTACTAGAGTCAGTTATTAATATATTATGAGATGTTCGATATAATTGTGATAGTTCATTAGTTTGTTATGACTGTATGCGTGTACACCTCAGATGACACACATTATATATACTGTACCTCATATTCAGAATCAGATTAATACAATTACCTTTACCCTTTCACTTTCTCTCCATCGGTCCATATCTTGACACAAGGGAATAGAAAAATAACAGCCCAATGATATTACTAAAAGAGATATAACGTCAAAATACAAGGTAAAATTGATTTCTTACTTCTTTCGATGGAACGTATATGTATGGGATTTCAGCTTCTCACATAAGATAGGAAGATGGGTAATCACATCAATTGGTGATATATTGCCAGCAATAACACATAATCTGCATTAACCAAAACAGAAGATTAGGGATAGATTTATTTTCCTTCTTGTATTGCGATGCAATTGACCAGAACTCAACAAAACAAAAACCGAACAGCATAATTAAGACAGGAGTTAAAGCATCTTCAAGCCATTGTTCGGGCTTAGCAACATCCCTGGCGAAAATAGATGCACGTTGAAGGCAATCATGTCCACCGCAGATGTTTCAAAAATCGACAGGTTCCATGTCCCCTTTCTAACTACTAATATCCAGCTAAGCTGGGTGGTTGTTGCGGAAAGCAAGAAAAATGATGCAAAGGAATCAATCAGAACAATCCCATTTCCAGACATTTTCAATCATTCTTTCCTGACAACCAAACGTAAACTAATTTTCTGACAGACAGATTAGGATTTTCAGAGAATACTAACCCTTTATGACCACGCCTTATACTTTTAACCACCTCCTTTACTCCTCTCTTTAGGCACTTGTGCTCAGAAGCTGAAAGAATCAGGGAACGAACGGTTACAGGAAAGAACTCGTTATACCCAAGCTATCAAAAACGTATCCAAACATTGCTTGCAGAATGAAAATAGCACACCAAGCATAAAATAGAGAACTAGCTAAAACAAGAAAGGAAAGAAATAGACGCGCGTGCAACGTAACACCTCGACGAACAAGTTTAAGAGCTCGCTTGCAGAGCTTCTTCCCAGCCAGAGGCTTGGCAATTGGAGACAGACCGAGCATTTTCTTCTTCTCCTTCTCCTTCTCCTTCTGCACCGACTTTTCGGCTTCACTATCGCTCCCCATCGCTTCCTGGAAGCGAAGGAATGGCAGTCGAACGCAGTGCCCTTTGTAGGGTTTCTCTTTTGTCCCAGCATAAGATTCTGTTACTTAATTTTATATGCTGGGCCCAACTCAAGTTCTTTTGAAGAAAACGATGATTGGGCGCAACAACATGGAGCAAATGTGGGCCTGACCCTTGTTATTGGGCTTAAGAGGATTGCTGGCATGCAATGGGCTCTATATAACATAGACCGTCATTGAAAATTAATTATTGTACCCAAAAAAAAAATTAGAATTTAGAATCCATTAGACTTTTTTGTTTTAATGGAATGTCACAATAAACCATACAAGGTACAACAATCAGTTCATGTCAAAGTTCATAAGATTTATCTGACCTTTGGGCGGATCAACAAAAATCATAGTATCAATACTATCAATAGAAGCCTTGCAAGTAAACCAATCCATACATAATACATCTATTCATTTCTTTAAGGGTATAGCAGAAATTATCATCCAAACTTTCATAACAATATCCTTGATTTTGTTGGCAGCATTAGAAAGAGAAGGGCTACAGTGAAATTACTCCAAATACGTGTGAGAGTTGTTAGCCTTTTTTTTGAATAAAAGAGTCCATTACGACATGATAAGGGGGTACTTTCCACCTCACTCAAACCCAAAATGCTGTGCTTGCCGATAACCTTTGATTGCTTGTAGATTTTGATGCTTATCTCTGGAGATAGGAGTTTGTTAATTTTTAAGATATTCGATCTACATTGTTTTATGTGTAATGTTAACTACGAAAATTTAAGATTTAAAATAAAAAAATTATTTTAAAAAAATCTATTGATCATGTACCAGGTATCAATTAGTATGTGGGTTCCTAAATAAAAAAAAAATCAAACACATCCCGATGATGTAATCATAAGTTTAAAAACTCAATAAAAATTAATTAATATTTTTCATATTATGAATTATTCCTATAAGTTCATCAATTTTAAGGGGGTAAAATTCATGTACTTGGCTTTACATGTTTAATGTACTTTTGCCCAATTAATGCTACCATTATCGATCAAATACTTTTATCAAATTGGGTTGTGTGGGCCTACAATGGATGAATAGTGAGCATTTCATGCTAGCCTGTGTTTATATGTCAACATTTAATTAACCATGTAATTGATTTTTAATCAATTTCTTGAGATGCAGTGTCAAGTTAGAGTGGCTAGGTTATTTGCCACGTTACGGATATTTCAAATTTTTCCCTCTAGTTTATATCAGTACATGCCATTTTTTAGGGATTTTTGACATGGGGATAGTTGGTTCCACATGTTTATATCCAATGATAGTCTAGTTGTTTTTAGACTGGCATGCGTCTTATGTTCCCAGCACAATGTATTGACATAGGTGTTGTTGCTTTTAAGTTTGTGACATTGAGGAGGGCTCTTCTGTGTCCTACGTTGGAGGTACTTAATGGCTTCTGCCTCTCAAGTATATTATGTGGGCTTGGATGTCTACTCATTCTACTGCATTGTTTTGTTCCAAGATCCTTTTCTCTATTTCATTATTAATTCGTATTAATCTAAGCAATCCACAAACCGTTGTCCACAACCATAGCAATGACAATGAAGAAGCCTCCCCATCTCCCCACCATTCCCTTCCCCCCTCACCAAATCCCTTCTTCTTCCTCCTTTCTTCTGACTAGACTAACTTATACAGCAAAATAGACATTAATTTTTTAGTATGAAAAGTGATGTCATTGACAACCTTTGTTCATGATTTCTTTTTCATCTCCATAAATTATTGGTTTTTAAGTTCTTTGTTGCTTTAATCTTTTAAGTTTATTTTGTATATTGTTAAATTATTCTAATCCACTCAATTGTTTTTATGTTTGATGTTGATTTTCTAGGTGGACAGTAGTTCTTTTGGTAGAGCTTCAATTGTTTCTATGCTATCTATACTTCTTCTTTTCGTTTTCTCATAGGTTCTCCTTTACCCTTCGTTTCCCTACTCTTATTTAGCTTAGGTGGTAGAGTCTCTCTCTTTCCCTCTCTTAATGACATAGGTGAGCTAAAGCTCTTGGCATAGGCGAGTTACACTTTTTGTGGTATATAATTATGCTCGTGTCATTACCCCCATTCCACCACATACCATTCTCTACATTCCTCCACCTGAAAATTTTGGTGTTTTCGATCATGGGAGAAGAAACACTAGGGGATAGATGTTATTTCCCTTACAAACTTATTCATCATTAGATTTGGGATTAATCTTTATCTATTTCTAAAATAATGTCTTTACACATTCCTTATCTTAGTTGATTAATTTGATTATCGCTTTATTTAGAAAATTCATGTAAGCTATATAAAAGGGCCAAATTCAATAAGATTTTTTTAAAATAATCTCATAAACAAACTTCATCTACCATAAAGAAATGTAAGAGTCATCAACTTCTACAAAATGTCACTAACATGGGGTAACAATTAAGGTGGGTTATGAGTGTTTTGTTCTTTGCTCTTTTTCATACCTTTTCATTGTCATTTTCCATAAGAAAGTTATTCTTTACTCTCTTTCTATTTAACTCATAGCATTTTTTTCACATTATAAAGATGGATTTGGGTGTTAACTCAACTAGAAATTGCCATAAATGTTGGAATTACACCAAGCATAAGAAGTGTTATGAAAACTTAGGTTAAAGTAATAAGTTTCGAGGTAATTATAGTTTTGTCATTGCCATTTTTCCAATTCCACATGTCTTGGACCCATTGTTATTATTTCACCTTAGTTTTCCCTTTATGATTTTTCCTACATTGCTACTTATTTTCCTCCCTTTCATTTGTGTATTAAATTAAAACTTAGTAAATTTGATAGCTTTGTTAGCAAGCATCAATGAATATAAAATAGTAGAGAAAAAGATCTATCTATGTTCAGTCTGCTTGTAATTTCCTTGCATTTTTTACTAGATATGTTGACATGCTTGATTAATGACATCTCTATATATAGTTTGAAGAAGTTTTTGTATCTTTACTTTAACTTATTGTGCTTAACAAAATGTTAAACAGGTCTATTTATTATCTTTTTTTCCATTTTTGATTGCAACCATGGGTCATCATATAAGCTATGAGTAATACTATGACTAAGAGATTGGTTTGTCATGTTTGACAAAATGAGAGAAGTATATGTGTTTCTAAATCTTGCTTTACTGCTATAACAAAACTCTTCATAACTTATTATTCAATCTAGTGCTTGATCTTTCATGCTCTTCAGTTGAATGGTTCTTATCAAAAATCTTGGTAGGTCATTTTCTATGTTATGTTGAAAAACTATTTATATACTAACTATGAACATATTTAATTATTTATAAACCACCAATTTTCATCTAGTTGACTTTCTATCACTTACCTCTATTACTATAAGAAAATCACAGTTCATCTCTTTTTTTAATACAAGACCACGGTAAAAATACTATACAAAAAGATCAAGGTCAGGTCATATCAGAAGACAAAATGCTTCTATAATCTACTGGAGTGTCGTCAAATAGAGTAGTATTAAAATGTTTGCTGGAGGCCTCTTAAGGTAGAAGATCGGCACAGTCATTTGCTTCTCTGTAGACATGTTCTAGAGTGACTTCCCAGCTCCTCGTGATGACATTTCTAATGCTTTTGATGATTTTTAAGAGTGGATGATTCTGGATCGATCTACCATTAATGAGGGATATGGCCTCCATAGAATTATTATAAACATTTATTTTCAAAATGTTTGCATTCCATTAAATGTTTAGCCCTTCTAGAATTCCTATAAACTCAATAATGGTAATGTATTGATAACCAAGGTTTTTAACAAAGCCTTTGATCTAGTTACCCTTGTCATCCTTAATAAGACCTCCACAGGCTGCAGCACCATTATACTTGAGTGAACTATCAATATCAAGTCTCACTTATCCAAGATTCGAAGGCTTCCAACTCGCTTCATGTTTGGTATTAAAATTGCTCAGACGGTCAAGCTTGGATTAAAGCTGTAGGTCATTTATAATTTATTGAGTGCTTAAAAAAGAAATGTATTTATCTAAATTATCATCTTCGAAGCAAACTTCCTTACATCTTATTTTCCAGATGTTCCAATAAGCTTGTGCAAAAAGTTTATTCCAAGGCAGTCCTCTAGTATGTATGCTTCCTACTTTATTATTAGCATTCCAAATAATCCAGTCCTGCAAATGAAGAGAAAAAAAGATATTATATTTAGAAGGGTTAACTAACTTTTTTCCAAACCTCCTTAGCATCTTTGCAATCTCTTAAGATACGAACAGAAGAGTTAGGAGGGTTACAACCCAGTTGACAAGTACAATGCTGTCTCGTATTTCCGTTAAAGGGCATAATGTTTATTTGAAGACTATCCCAAGCTGCTTTCTAAACAAAGTACTTAATATTTTCATAAATAGGCCATTTTTAGATTTTGGACCATAAATTATTATGTTCCTAAGCCTTTCAATTTTTTATTGTTGTGTAGGCAGATCTAATAGAAAATTTACCATCAGAAAATAGTCTTCAAATAAGAATATCCTCTTCGTTCTGAGTATTAGGAGGTTAAACAAGAGCAATATGATTAATAACATTCGGGTGCAAGTATCTTCTTATAAGATCTAAATTCCAACCTTCGTTAGGCTTGCAAAAATCCATACTCATGTATGGAGAATAGAATCGACATTATGAAAGGCATGTTTAACAAGAGGATCAGGGAAAGAGGTCCATTTATCATACCAAAAGTATATTTTATCTCATTTTTCAACTTTCCAACCAATAAAAGTCATGAAAGTGTCCCATATTTTGCAAATGCTACTCCAGGTATAGGAGCAAGAATTAAGTTTAACGACCATAAGGATAGTTGGTATGCTACAATTGTATTTATTGCACAAGATCCTTACCTAAAGACAATTTGTTTTAGTGAGAATGTCCCAACATAACTTCATGATAAAAGCAATATTTTGGCTTTTGATATTTTTAATGTTGAGACCGCCAACCTTTTTATCAGAAGTGACACAATCTCGGGACAGAAGATAGGGTTTTTTTCTCCTATCAGAAGAGTCTTAAAGAAAA